AGTAAAGCCTATTATATTAGCTTTGCTAATTCTTCAACCAATTATGACCATATCTGATATGCAAACTCTAGTGCAAATGAATACATATATGATAATCGACAAAGGTTTAAGATTTTTGAACTAATCCAAGATAAGTGCTACAATGTTAAAGTTGCAAATGACTATACTCTATGGATACAATGAATGGACAATATTATAGGTAATCCATATAAAGAAATCTATATGGAATTACCTCATGGTTATCTTCTTCCTCACAACACTAGAAAAATATGTCGTTTAGGCAAAAGTCTTTATGACTTGAAATAGGCTAGTTGAACTTGGAACACAAAGTTTACTACTTTCCTCAAACGTCATGATCTCCAGCAAAGTACTGTTGATCCATGTGTGTTTTACTAGACCATAGATCAAATAAATGGACCTTATTTGCTTCATTTGGGTTGATGACGATTTTGGAATTTGTCCAGACAAACATCGCGTCAAGCTGGTCATTGACTGTCTATGTCACCATTTCAAAATTACTGTGGACTTTATGGATATTTATGTTGGTTTGCAAATAATTAGGGATTGTTTTTCTTTTTTATGTTGACCAAGAGCATTTTGTTGAATCTATACTGGTGAAGTTTAGCTTTGTTACATGCAACCTTATTTCGACCCTTGCCAACAGTAATGTTCACCCACAACTTTCGAGACCAGATGATGATACTATTACTCCAGTTTTTCTATACCAAGAGATTGTTGATAGCATGCTTTATCCAGCTATCGATACTCGCTTTGATATCTCTTTAGCAGTCAATAAGGTTTCTCAGTTCTCCAATAACTTCCATGAGATTCACTGCACTGCTGTTAAGTGCATTGCAAAGTATCTTCGTGATACTACAGATTATGCTTTATGTCACTTTAAGTTTGATGCCAACAACATCCTCACAACTTATGCTGACGATGATTATGTTGGTGATCTTGACGACCATAAGAGTTGTGGCAGAGTTGTTATCTTGCTCAACAAGCACCGATTTTTTGGCGTAATCGCAAGCGGTTATGCACTACTAGCTCTACTACCGAGTTTGAATATATTGTAGCATGTCTTGCTAGCAAAGAGACTGTGTGGATCTGATGTTTGTTGCAAAATATTGGCTATGGACAAGCTAGACCGACTCTTCTTTTTTTGGATAATCGACCTGCTATATGTTTGATTCATTATCCCAAATATCATAAGCGCGCAAAGTACACTGAGATTCAGTATCATGTTATCTGTGAGATTCAAGCTCAAGGTGATATCCACACCAGTTATGTTCCAACTAATCTGATGTTTGCTGATCTTTTTACAAAAGCCTGAGAAATTCCATTGTCTTCGAGAAGGACTCAACATTGTCATGAAAGTATAGTAGAGTGGGAGAATTTTTGTATCGAGAAACTACATGCACATTCTATGTACCAATGTGTGGGAGTATTGATGTTACATTGTTAACGAAGTACAGTGTAGTTTAGTCTAGAGTTGCATTCATCCGGAGTACCTTTTGAGCAGTGCATTACTTGCTCTGATAGGTTTCTCTTTTGTCTCTTTCAGTCTACACCCTGTAATGTCATGAGTAATAGTAGTACAGAGCTTAATTCTCATTATCATCACTGTGTGATTATTGATGTATGTGTATACATTGTCTGGTTAAAATACTTGTACTAGTAAACTGGGTACCTATTCCTTTGCAGCGAGAGGGTGCCATCGCAGGCTCTTTTAACCTCGGTAAGAAGAGGGCCACTTTACAGGCCGCCATAGAGGGCGTCGTTGGGCTACAGGGACCGCGAAGAGAAATGCTAAGGGGATCGGGGACCGTGGGTTGTCCACGAGGGGTGGGACTGGCTGGGCCCGATACCGCCATCGCAAGGAGGCGAGGGAGGGAGGGAGTTCCGGCGGTGGGGTATCCGCCATGATCGCCCACAGGCTGGCAGGATTGCAGCTTTCGTCCGGATCGGACAAGCGCAGTGCAGCGCTGATGCCCCTGCAGTGTGCAGGAAGCCGGACGAAACGGATCACCGCAGTGCTTTTCGGGTATGACACGAGTCTCGCATATGCTTTAAAGCACGAGCTTCTCATGGTCCCCTTCATTTTGGCCCGAAAGCTCATGACAACGCCCACAAACTCAAACAATCACAGACACACAAACAACGCTACCGAAAGATGTGGAGAGAGCGACAAAGCTCGGGAATCCTATGCTGGCATCGCTGGGAGGGGCAAAGAGCATCATCATCAGTGGAGACTCTTCCTATGCTTTGCTTTCCTTCGAATCTCCAATGCCCTGCTCTTGCGATCCCCTCACTGTCGGTTGTCCACTTTGACTTTGCCCTCACATGACTGCAGTGCCTTTTTTTGCCTTCACGTTTATGATATTGCGAATCTGATGGATCCCAATATTAAAAGTGTGAAACAGTGGCCTTGTGTGAGCACTTTGGATGAAGCAGTGTACATTGGTTTTGCTATTGGTTTTGTGTGGGAATGTTTCAGTAGAGAATGAAGACTTGTTGCGGGAAACATTTTTGTAGAACCATGTTATTGATTCTTTGACAAGCACGTGCTTTGGGTGAGAAAGAGTTGGTTTTGGATTGAAGTCAATTGGGAGTACACGTGTTTTTAAATATAAAGTGGTTGCTTCTAATTTATAAATATGGCCGTTGCAATAACTTGGGTTTGTGTTGTGTGGAAGGAATTAGAAAGTGATTCCAAAGCATCAACGAAGGATATTATGTGCTCAACTCGAAAGAGCGGATATTCTTTTAAGGTAAAGGTTTGGATTTTGGATTGCAACCTGAGGCACATTATCCTTGTTTCTGTTTCACTATTATTGAAACAGGATACTATTCTAAAATTTACACTCATGTTTAACACGCTTTTAAATTTTTTAAGATATAGATATCGACAGCTAAATGTTCTGTTTCAAAAAGAATGTAGTTTTTCTTTAAACTATTGTATCATGCAATCTTAATAACAAGCCATGACTAAAACTATTTTATGTACAAATGTGTATTTATATTTATATACACTGTAAACATAACCTCATGAACTCCAAATAACAACTGATCTTGCTCTGAAGAAAATAATTCATATTATATAACGTTTGTGTGTACCACTTCTGAGTTACAGAACATAACCAACATACTTTGTTACTAATTTACACAAATATGGAAAAATAATAATAACCTTATAAAAAAAAAACATGTAAAGTTGTATTTCATGTGTATAGGTATATGTTTTTTTGGGCAGTTTTTTGCCAACATGAAATTAGACCAAATATGAGAAACGCATTTAAATGAGCACAGACCAGGTATTTTTTATTTATTTATTTATTTATATTTTATTTTAAAGTAATAGCAGCACCAAAAATAAATAAATAAATAAAAATGAATGTTAATCCATCATGTTACTTGTATGAAAATTCAAAATGTAAAATTCACAGCTGAAGTTGAAGCAATTTTTGCTTACTAAGATGTATGCTAAAATAAAGCGATTTTGAATAAATTCCACTAAATTTAGATTTTAAATATTTGTAAATATAAAAAGATTTATATTCCAATTTTTTCATATATGTATAATTTTTTTCTCATTGATTAATATCATTTGTTTCAAGAAAAGAATATTGATTATTAGGGAATATCAACCGTTAAATGTGGTGCATTGAATGTATGATAAAATTTATTCATGCTATGGCCCTAGAATCTATGCTAATTGCTTCCACCATAATGGCTCTGTGGTCTTGCCTTGCCCAATTACACACAGCTATGTGGCATTGCCTTGTCTAATCCCATTTAACCATGTAACTCTCCAAACCCTGTGGCTTCTGTTAATTAATGTTTGTAAATTAACAAAATTCATGAAAAATCAAGTTATTATTATAAAATACTTATTAATTGTGCACCATGAATTAAAAATTAATTAAAAATAAAATACTAAAATATCAATATTATAATTTTTTATCAAATACTCTTCAACTCTTAGCATTCTAAACCGCTTAACTTTTTCTAACGGTGTCACAAGTGGTCACTAACCTGCAAGGTACTTCAGCATATGTGAGGTGGACCCTTCCACCAAGGCTGGTAAAATAGGGGCTTTTTCACACATCCCACTCTGTTTCACACTTTGCCATGATCGAGCCCACCACGGCACCAACTTGTGCAGCAGAGTTGCAAGCATCACTGCAGTGTTGATTGAACTTACAAACAACACTCGTCAACTTCATGCAGGCGAGAGATGGAGGAATGAATCCTTGCGAAGACCTTTCCCATGAATAGCTAGTGTTTTTCGCTCACCTCTTCTCCGTGGAGCTACTCGTCAAAAAGAATGGGTGCGAGTGAAACAGATTGTTGGGCAGTAGTAGAGGCTCAAGAAAAACGGCGTCGGTAAACTTCTGTGGAAGAGAACAGATGGTGGCGCTGCAAGATAATAAAATCTTGACTGTGAATACACGGTATTCATCGTGTATTCACAGTCAAGATTTTACAAAGCATAACCGCTTAACCACATGACCTACAACTCAAGTTTATAAATGCCTGGTTTCGGTGTTCGGAGTGGCAGGCTTTTCCATGATTTCATTGCTGTTTTGCACAGTTTGTGGAGCCAGTGTACGTAAGTTAAACGATGTGCTATTAAATCAAGCAAGTCAGCACTAGAATCAACTGAATAAGATTTCCTTGAAGGATTGTTCAAGTTCTACAACTGCATTTGGCATTGCTACTTTGCTTCACCTGGAAGTAAATCGAATACGGTTCAAGAATTTCATATTCACGACACGGCTCCATGAATTATAAACTGTAATAGAAGTCTCTCGTGTCAATGACCGTCAATATTGAAGCACCCAAGACCATCTAGAGGCAACTTCTAAGTACTAACTCGATAAAAGTGCATGAATGTTCTGAAGTGTGTAGCTAAAGAATGGAGCGTTTAATCAGGGTAAGTGTACTCAAGCCTACCAGACTGCTCAAGATGAAAGGGAGGATGATATGATGAGAAGTTATAATGAAAATATGATAGTATGCTGAGAAAAAACAGAATTATCATTTTCATTGCAGTGTCAAGGTGTTTCGAGTGAGTTTACAATTCAAACAGAGTCAGATTCCAAGGCTGTCCTGTGACAGGCAGAGTCGGTGGACGAAAGGGGGTTTTCGCGCAAGAATTGTGAATTACAAGGGCCTACGTGTCGTCTGCCATAAGGGGCTGGAGACCGTAGATCCGAAGTATCCCCCAGCTTGCTGTCTCCAAATATGTCGTTTCCTCTTAAGTCGCGACGTCGTGCCAGCTTGCTCAAGGTAAAGTTATGCCCATCTTCTTCCATGTTCCGTGGCTCGTCGTTAAAATCAAATATGTTATTCCCCCGAAAAGCCCGCGTTTTTGCTTCCTCAACTAGTCGTGCCCTGGAGAAAAAGTCGTACCCCTCACAGTTTGGGCTCCGTATTTGATACGAAATAGAGGACGGGCACGTTGATGGTCTCTTTGGCGAGACGACGAGGTCTCCCATTTGAAGATGGCTTTCTAATCTTTTTGGCTGCACGGAATTGTGAAATTAACTGAGTCATCAGCAGCCACAAGTTGCATATACTGTGAAAAGGTGGTCGAAACACTTATTCCAAGTACAAACTGTAACTCGGCAGGAAATGAAAATTTACCTCATCTCGAACCTTCTGTAAGTTTGAGATGAAAATCTTAGAGAAAAAAGCAGATTGAACAAGCACAGCAATCATGGATATAAGGACATACATTGCGGGGCATTTCGTGTGGTGGGATGCGTATTTCCTGGGGACAATAGGGCACTCGTACAGGCGGTGGAGGTGAGTCGGACGCATTGGTGAAAGCAAAGACATCATGGCCTGCAAGCTCCTGAGTTTTGCTACTTGAGCAGGGCCGCTGTAGAAAGATCTCCCCACCCATGCGTTAGTTCTTGCCTGCAGTTGAAACTTTTCTGCAAACCTACTGTATGTCAAACTTTACTTGATGCAAGTTCTCTTCTCGCACAATATGTCGAGCTATTCTTCACATTCAAGTTGCGAAAAGAAGGAATTTGATGCGAAGGAACACATAAAAGACGAAAGTGTGATCATTACGAAAGTGAGTCCACCAGATACATCCAATCCAACACCACCGCAATTCTCCTCCAATCTGTGGTTCCCCACCAAGTCCATCTGCCTGCATTCAGAGCGGGGCCGCCTGCAATTTGTAATACAGCATGTTATTCATTGAACACTTACATATCTTCACATCCAGTAATCCACTCGCAGTGGAGATCAATTGCAATTTTCAACTGCAATTTAATTCAGATCTGAAGGCATTAATCATCATACATAAATTAGAGCTCACCTTACTATCAATCCTTCGGCTTCTTTGGGGGTCATGCACTCGCCAAACGTAATCTGACTCTCTGATCCCCTTGCAAAAGATGACTGTTTAGAAGGAAGATGGGTGAGCTAAATTAGATTCTGTGAGGCGGAAGACAATCTACCATCAGGAACGGCGTCTTTGTACAGAAACCTGTTCATCTGCAAGGACTCACCGACTGACGCTCTGGCCCAGTAATTGTAGTTGTACATGATTGTCTACCTGGTTCTGGGGATTCGACCGGCATGGTTTACAACTGGAAACGCCCTCATGCATTTCGCGAGCAGCCTCTAACAAAGGATTACTCCCCTTCACAGTGGCGTCGTTGAATACACGAGTCGCGTGCGGGGGACTGCACGGTCGGGTGTTGTTGCTCCTGAATATGTCAAATGACGATGTCCCTGAAACGCGCGTCAAAGACCTCTTCCCCGCAGGAGGTCGGCAAATGTCGGCCGGCATGGTGTAAAGGCTTCACCAAACAACCAGCTTGAACACCGGACGAGAGGAAGGACGAGTGCGGGAGATTGGTGGCGGTCAGAACAATTGTAGAACTCGTTCGTATGTGGGTTTGAAATTTGAAAGTGCTTGCGATGATCATGTGAAGGCGTCGAGGATCCCTGTCATGTTAAAAATCGACTCCTTAGGTGAAAATTCTGACAAGATGCTACGAGGTTGCGCAATAACAATCGTCTATAATCATCATAGAACGAAGTGCAAAGAATTTGTCACCCATGGCACAGTCTTCAACAATACCCCCACGTTCAGCGCAGACCTATAAGTTTCACCGAACACACCAGAAAACAAACATCCAGTCGGGACCACCTGCATCCTTACCAATTTTACAAATGTTTTAACAATAACATGTAAGCAATTCAAATCGAACACAGCTAAACTACGACCTACTACCTATGAGTTGAGCCGATGGACTGGCTTCGCTGGAGTAGTATGAAAACACGCCACACACCAGGATTCTCGCAATGCAGGCCCAGGAATTATTAACTGGGACCGCTGCAACTAAACTTCTTGTAGTCGAGGGCAATGCTGGGGGATTCTAAGACACTCTTACAAGAAAGTGTGATTTGAATGTCAAGAAACCTCAGCGCAAGGGCGGGAGGGAACATGAAACCAAACAAGTTGAGGCTGCAGGAATCTCAAGCAGAGGCCGTTTAGGTGATTGAACTCTTATTTCTGCCAACTCATGGTCAATTATCAACATCACAATCCACGACCGCTTTTGTCGTGCCAATTCCGACATTTCCCACCCGTAGTCAGAGTTAGGGGTCTTCATTCAACAAAATCCAACCTCAAAATACCAGTGAGCAGGAACATACCGCCACAACGATAGCGCGTCTGTTTCTTCCGTGATCGACCTTCGCCATCGTTGCTCTCCAGGTCTACAGCAACAGCACGTTCGCTTCACCAATTTTTTCACTGCTCTTCAAGCAAATCCATTTATATGACTGTCTGCTCGTCCATTCAAAATATTAGGGCTTGGTTTCCCTGAATCTTCTAAAAGCAGAACATATTCAACGGTCCCGTCCTCTACTTACAAGACTTTGTTCACATAAAGATTGGCCGTTCCTGGACATGAAAACGTTTCCGAGTATAACATGCTAACTATGATGCGAAACATCACCGAGCTCCAGACTCCAGAATGGCATGCTGCAATCTGCCATTGCCATTTAGGTGACTAACAAAAACATCAGATATTAAAACAGGAGCCTCAAATTGAACAATTAACAGAAAATCCACACAACTCGGAATGAATTTCTAAGCGAGAGACGACCTGACACAGATCTCTGCTGTCCAACGTGCAGGCAAGTGTGAATTACAGGCAACTCGAATGAAGCACTTCCAAAATGTCGCATTGTGGAAGTGATTTTCAACAGACAACTTCAAATTCCGTTCTGGTTACGTTTGTGACAGAGCATCAGGCCACCATTCTGTGTAGAAAATGTTACCAAGTTTTCGGTGACCAGTTTGTGTTCTTATATTCCGATATAAATAGATATGAGCACTTCGCATGTTGAAATCCAGTCAATTTGGCCGAGTGGTTAAGGCGGCAGACTCGAAATCTGCTGGGGTTTCCCCGCGCAGGTTCAAATCCTGCAGTTGACGATTTTGTATTTATTGTAAGAACTGTCCCTAACTGTTACAGCTTTTGACATTGAAATGTTCCCTTGGTAGACTAAGCCAAACAAACATATTTACAAAAAAATACAAAGATCATTTAGAAAATGACCCAATTTTATAAGATGAATAAACCAAACACCATGCTGTGGAAAAAGAAAAAGGTTGGGTTGTTAATACATTATAAAACAGATTTTCTACACAATGAGACACTGCATCTCCGACTCCCTAAAAAGCTCAAGATATTCACAAATGTTCATCTCATTTTTTTTGAGAGCTTCAGAACATTTATAAAAGTGTCACCAAGTTGAATGACACCTTCAAATTCTCCCACTTCAAACATTAGAATACTAAGAACTTTGTGCCCAGCTGAAAAGAAGATAGTTTTGCCAAATATTGAGGGAGATTTTGAAGAAGGATATGTCATTAGCATTAACTGCATCTTAATTGTCAACATACAAATTCAAGCCAATATCAAATCCAAAATATCATTATTCAGACTTTATTACCAGCTTCAAGTTTGTGAAGTATGTATAGTCAGATAATGAGTCACAGAGAGAAGAGAGTTGATGCAAGCAATGTGTTTTTTGATGTTTCATCTGCCTCTCTTTTGATATTTTAATTTCAAAATTATCCACCTTGCGAGGTGGATGATTTAGTGAAGTATAAATTGATATTTAGAAATATCATGGGATATTTTGAGATCTCATCACTGATGAAATATCACCTAAAAAGGCCATGTTTGAACCTCCTAATGTGAGGTTATATACAAAAGATCATCATTGACCAAACATAAGAATCAAGATATAAACTATATTTCAATACTTTTGAAAGAAGATTATTTGTAACTCTAAACACAAAGATGCCAAAAAGCTCATCTCCTCTATGAAACCAATTTGAAATAGCTTGTATTATAACAACCTAATCACAATTCAATTGCAGCTTAGAAGGATGAGCAACCCAACAACAATTATTTGAGCTTGTGCCAACAACTTCATATATATATATATATATATATATATATATAAATTTAAAATATTTCAATTAATTTTTGGCAATCTTTTAGTGCTTTATAAGCCAATCAATGTCAATGTTAGGTGAGGTTTTTGAATAAGATAGTGTATCAAGTTACCATGCTTAATCTTGTTAAAACTCTTATATTTGTACAATTAATAAAGTGGTAATACAACTAATACCATATTGTAGTATACTACATGGCTTTTGAAAGTTCATTTTTAATTTTTAAATAAATAAGAACTACAATTTGTCCAAACTCCTAGGTAGTAATATTCTTTTATTTCTTTACAAACATTTGACATAATATAATTTAGAGAAGAAATAAACATAAATTTGATCAAAGATAAATCAATTTAAAATTTCTTCAAGCTTGGTGATTTTATTTTATTTTATTGTACACCAGTAATAGAATTTTATTGAGAAAAGGATTATTCAACAAATTGTGAAACTCATTCTTATATATTGCAATATTATTCTTGTTTGTATCAATGACTACATGAATGAATAATGTAATGTTTTGAATGCAACAACAAAAAATAAACTCAAAAATTTATTTTGTAATATGGCTTTTACATGCAACACCAGTAAATTAAAAATTATAGCATTCATTGTTTAAATTATGTCCTTGCTAAAACCATATGTCAAAAATAGAAGCATAAGAACTGAAGTTATGGGGCATTTATACCAAGAAGCTCACTTTAAAAGCCCATGATACAAGAAAAAAAACCTTACAAATGTCTTACACTTGGTAAAAAATAAAAAATAAAAAATAAAAATAAAAACTCTTTTAGAATCCTTAGCCTTTAGAGATGGTACAAAGTGATAAAAGAGTATAAAATAGACAATATACTATCTCATTTTTTTATAATTTTAAATTTATCAATTAACATCTTTATTTTAAAAATTATCAAAATATAATTATTTAATATTTAAATTTTTAAAAAATATAGCTATTTTTAATATTGTTTAAACATAATTTTTAAATTTTTTGTAAAAACTATTTCTTTAAAGTGGGTCTATTGTAAATTTAGATACAACATTGTTTATGCTATGTAAAATATAAATATATTTTATCTCATGTTTTTTCTCTTATGATCTTTGGATTGATTTTTCTAAATATATAGCCAACTATTTGAAGCTTCTGATTTCAACCAATCAAAGGATTTACAAGTTGTGTCATCTTGCCTTTTTTCTTAAGTATAAAGATTTTCTAATGACCATAAAGTAAATTTAATTATAACAACTAAAAATTAATTCTTAGGCATATATGTATCTCTTTAAGTTAACATATTGTGCAAAATACTAATATTAAATTCTTTAATTCAAAATTTTTTAGTACAATCTATTAAAAATATAAAATATAAAAAAAAAACTTTTAGAATTGTTTGTTATATATTATTTAATTAAATTAGTTACTTTGCATCCTAAAAGCTTAACAATTTAACAATGAAGTAACAATATTATTATCTTAAATATTACAAGTCTTTTTATAACAATCAATAACAATCTAACTCTATTAAAAGAAAAAAGAATTAAAAAAAAAAAAAAAAAAAAAAAAAAACATCTTCACACTCTTGGATTCACTCATTTACCATTTGAACACATGAGTTTTCTTTATATTAAAAAAAAAAAAAAACAAAAAAAAAACAAAAACAAAAAAAACATTCTCTACATAGACAATCACTCTACAATTGAAACTAGTCTTTTTGCCAAAGGTGCAACAACTACATCATCGACGTGGAGAGCTAATAGTGTCACCGACACCCAACTCACTCACTTTTTGGGGGGGGGGGGGGGTGAGTGGGTGCAGGTTTAGTTAGTTTTTGGAGGGTGTTGGGGGATTGCTCTCTACACGACGAGTGCAGACAGAGCCCGGCATCGGCTTTGCTTTCGAGGGAAAGGGAGTGGGGTTAAGTTCATTTTGTGCAGTTGCGGCACTTCACCGCTATTGCTATTGCTGCTGCTAGAGGAGGAGGAGGAGGAGGAGGATGGCTTGAGATCGGCAAGTTGTGCGGCTTTGTTATCAATCACAGGTTTTGTTTTCAACAACACATTCCTCAGAGTTCCTTCGTTTAGGGTTTAGGGTTTTAAGTTTTTTTTTGTTTCGTTTTTTGTTTTTGTTTGTTTGTTTGTTTGTTTGTTTTGTTTCGTTTTGTTTTGTTTTTTTTTTATATTTTTGCGGATTGTTGGATTGCATCTTCGTTATCTTCTGGCCAGTGATTCGTGAATTGGTTTCTCATGTTCGGCTTTCGGACAAGTGCTATGATGTGGGAATTCTTGGATTTTTATTTTTTTAATTTTGTTTTTTGTTTCACTGGCTGCATGTTGAAAGTTAGGCGCTTACATAATAAATAAATAAATAAATAAATAAACCTGTGTCTGCTCTCGTAATTGGCGAACTATCGCCAAGGAGAAGATGATCGACAGAACATCTCGTTTTGTGAAAATTTTAGCCCTAATGGAATCGAAGCTGATGTTTTGACAAATAGTTGCTGTTGTTGTTGTGGTAAATAGGCCAGCCATGGTGTGCTTGCTTGTGGCCACGAAGGCCGACCCTGCTTCTATTGGTCCCGCGTCCGCGCTTCTCTCCCTCTGCTCCTCATGGACGCGAGGGCCTGACATTGATAACAATCCCTCGTACAGAACACGAGATGTCCGCATGATTCACTTACAGGACAAGATAGTTTACGAGGACTTCTTAGAGCAGCGATGGGAAACTGTGACAGGGGAGAATGTGTCGGAAATTATTTTCATGAGCCGGCACACTGCGGCATCCAACCGACCTGCGCTCACAGTGCACCCAATTGGCATACCACACCTGGAGCATGATGCAAATTCGCCGGCTGGAGGGAAACCCGGTCGAGCTTCGCCTCCGAACTCACGCATCGGCGCTTGGTTTCGTTTATTGAAATCCACGGCTGCTAACAACAACCTTCTTCCCGAGTTTGAGGTTACGCTTGAGGCAACGCATCACGGACCGTGGACTGAAGTTCCTGCGATGTTCGTCGAGATCGGCAGCACAGAGGATTACTGGAGGAGGGAGGACGCAGCTGCCACCGTTGCCTCGGTGTTCATGAAAGGTTTAGGCTTAGATGGAGACCAGGCAGTTGGTTGCTGGTCTGAGGAGATACACGCTGGGGAGAAGGTATTGTTAGGAATAGGTGGCGGACATTATGCTCCTCGCCATACAGATATTGCACAGAAAGACGGTGTTTGGGTGGGGCATCTGCTGTCGGGTTACTCTCTGCTGATGTCCGATCCAGGTGCTAATGTGAAGGATTATGATAAGATTGAAGGGACTTGGAAGGAGGCGATTCTAGAGGCAGTTTCGGCAACGAAGCGGGCCTTTCCAGGTGGGGAGGTTGTCGCCCACCTTGATGGTAAGAGCTTCAAAGCCTGGCAAAGGAATGCCATCACGTGGTTCCTTGGGAAAAAAAATATCAAGGTAGGAAAGCCTGGTGACTTTGCTCCTTGATTTATTTATTTATTTATTTTTTCATGTATCCGCATATACACTTGTAGACCATTGTTGCAAGTAGCACAAAGATTCTTTACAAATTTTTGATTACAGAATCTAATACCTCAGTTTGCAAAGCAGTCGCGTGTCAATCAGCAGCAGCTAAAATTCATGATATGTATATATGTATGAAAAAATTATGAAATAAAACAAGCTTGTGCATTTTGTTAGAGACTAAATGTTTTCATTATTCAGTTTGAAACTTTTACTGACATGGACATTCATACTGTCAAGCGCTTAGTGAATACCAAATACTTGGTTCGCTTGGTAGACTTCGTACATTCTGGTACTTTCTTTGTGATTTGATGTGGTTTTGTCTCGCAATGTGGCTGGATCTGAATGATATCTTGCTACCCAGCCATAGCTTTCCTCTTTATGTCCAGTGAACGGTCCTAGCAGGAAATTCTCTTCTGTTCTATATGTTCCACACATGAAGTGCGTGTTGGTGCAAGACGTAACATGCAGTGAACCTCGAGGTCACGTCCATTGCACTCCCATCGTTTGCGTGCTTCATTTTTTTCACTTTGATAATGTTACAGTGGAGCCTGACTGTGACTTGAAGTATGTATTCTATTGAATTATTTTTCTGTTGTTGACATGACAGCTATTGTTACTTTGAAGTTTATCTTCTGGGTGGTTTCCGGTCTTCTGAGGCTCCTGGAGCTGCATTGCATGTGTGCAACGGGTCTTTTTAGTTCGCATCATCCTTCACATCACAGGACTTTGACAAACTCAAACGATGAGGTCATCTTCAAGTTCCTGCTCCGAAGTGTCGTTACTTAGCTATGCTTTATGTTCCAACTTTCTTAGACAAAAGCAGTTTTGCCTGACATCTTCGAACTTTGGCAGGTGCTTTGTGCCCATCAAGTCCATGAAATCCGGCGCGGCTTTTTGCCCATCTGGTTGCCTGTCTGCATCTGCTAAAACAACCTACCAGTTTGTCTGTCATTAAGAGTTTCGTGTTCTCTTCGTTCTGTAAGTTGGCTTGTTAGAGAGTCTGCGATACTGTGTGATCAAATGGATGATTCTAATGATTCTGAAAGCATGTCGAAAGCTGCTAAGGAGTGTATTTCCATGTATAGTAATCTTCGAGTCATAAATTTTAATTCTGTCGTCGCAGTGATCTGTGGATTAATGGACATGTTTAACAAAAAAAATTCAAGTTATGCTTCACATTATCATTTGATGAAAAGCCAGAAAATAAAACTGCTCCAATTTGGTGAGAGACAATGGTGAATATGATTCAGGTAATAAAATATGAAAGCAAAGAAAAATAAATGATTCATATTGAAGTTGCAACATATGTTCTATTCCATGTATGTATATGTGACAATAAATTATACAATTTGTTACTTTAATAACAAATATTTATCTTTTTATCTTGTAGATATTAAATTTATTTTCATATTGAAAAACTCAGTGAATTTCGATCCTTAATTTATGATATGGATATATTGGTATTCCTCCTTGACTATTTTAATATTCTAAGAGCTATTCATTGTTTTTTTAAGAACAGATTTATAAAAAATAAAAAACAAGAAAAATGGTGGTGAGGTAATAATCTACATTCTCAAACAAACCAATGGGCAACTCAAAAGGCTAAAAATAGTCAATGGGGATATTGAAACATTTGTGTCTTTGACTTATTTTCAACTTCATTTATTTCTCTAAAACAAAAATATACATTCACATGTTAGAGTCTATTGGATAGCATTAGAATTTTACAATTAGAATATAAAATATTGAATCCATTAGATTTTTCTTTTTATTTTTTCTTTTTATTTTAGATTTTTAAAAATGACTTTAATAACATTTGAAAACATAGTTAGATTAAAGAAGTAAATAATAAATATTTTAAGGAATTTTAATTTTATTAAAAATGTATCATAAAATAAATATAAAATTAAAGCATGTGTTTTGGTGTTAAATATATTTAAGTCAAATTTATATTGCAATCATTTTAAGAAGACACATATTAAAGATTAAGCTCAAAAATATATATTTAAAATTAATACTATAATATCTTTAAAATATAATTTAAATTAATGTATAATTTTTAAATGTACAAAAAGATATTCATTGATATCACAATTAATCTATTATATTCACATATAAAAAATAAAGATTATATATATATATATATATATATATATATATAATCATCAAATTTTAAAAATCGTAATACTACATATATGATATAATAAGAGAATCCATAGGTGGATACACCTCATTTATTACATAAACACCTCCTCTTGCCATGCATCTCTACATCTACAAAATAAATCTCTTATTTAGATTGTTAAGTTTAATGATAAGTTTATAATAAAAAATTCTTTAGATTAAAAATAAAAATTATCATACATACTAAATTTAATCATTTTACATACATTTAATGATTGTTTATGTTTTTTAATTTTATATGTCTATTTCAAATTTAAAATAATTTCATAAAAAAACTATAAGGTAATTAATTTTTAAAATTATTGCAAGTATTAATAATTAGTTGAATTTTATATTTCGAAAATATTATTTAATTTAAGTTTTAAAAAATAAAAAATAAAAATAATGATGTTTTATTATTATGCATATATGTATATATAGTTGTGGATAAGAAAAATAAGCTAGTCAAAAATATTTTTATGCTCTTTTTGATTAAGTGTAAAGAGCATAGATTACGTCTATTTAATTAAACAATTATATATATATATATATATATATAGTTGTAAAATTTAGTATTATATATAAAATGAAATAAAATAAGTATTAATGACAACAAATATTTTTCTTCAACTTGTTTAAAAATAATAAAGCACACATATCTTCTTATACATGTATACAAATAAGAAAAGAACTATTGTGAATCAGAAGGTTTCAAACACTTTAGAATAAAAAGAAGATTAAATAGATTAAAAACAAAGATAAAAATTAACAAGTCAATTATGATTTATTTGATTTTATGGCATATTTTATTTTCAGATGATAAAATAGTTCATTTATATAAATATTAAATCTCAAAAGTGATAGTTAAAAATTGTGATGTTGGATTGAAGACATAAAGAAACACAACATTTTACAGCATAGACTAAAAGAGGTTAAAAGCAAACATTGTTTGGATAATTTAGTGTGAAAGTACATATTGTGAAAAGGTTGTAGTCACATTGCGCAAAAGAAAATGGCATGGCAAAACAAAATGGACTAATAGACATTCAAAGGAGCATAAACATTCAAAGGAGTATAAACATGTATTATAATGAGAATAAATAAATTTTAACAAATTATCCCCATCTACAAAAAAAAATTAAAATTAAAATTAAAAAAATATAAAAATAAACATGAAATAAATTATCATTATATATGTATATATATATATATATATATATATTAGATCATTTGGCGACTAAAGATATCTAAGACAATAACTTTAAGAAAGATATTTTCACTTTACACTCCTACACATTCCTTTTGTGGACTTTAAAGTATTTGAGACAATGTGAAAAATTTGGGAGCTATCAATGCCAACAAAAAATTATATATTTGTAGAAAGTAAGAATTACGCAACGTATGTTTTGTGACGTGTTTTATCACTTTTAATTTTTGGACATTCGCCTCCGACAGAAGAACAGTCCAAATCAATTTAAGAATTGAAGTTACGCCGAATTCTAAAAATACTGATCGTGAGCGTGTGATTTGTGAAACAAGCTGCGATGCATCATTTCATCCAAGTGTTGACGATCCTGCACAACACAAACACAGTTTTAACTCACCGCAGATTTTTTAAAAAAAATTTCGACTAAGAAATTGTAACTGATTGAGTGAATCCACGGTACCAAGTTGCTGATTTGCCCATCCTGCCGTGGCAGCATGTGCCCGGCGCATGCTTTGCGCGTACTTAGATACTTCCTCGTCGTCTCATTTCAGACATCGGCCTTTTGTGGAGTTCGTAGTCAGGGTCCGTTGCATTCGAGGCTGCGAGGGTTGGTTGATTGTTAAATTGCGGGCTTGGTAGTTGTTGATTGTCAGCTCAATTGGATACAGGCGAAGTCGGAAAATTGTAGCGTGCAATACATCTTAGACTGTTTGGGAGACTTCAGTGATTGTGTCTTGAGGCCGGACTGCGGCTTAAAAATGATTCTGGAGACGGGGCAGAGGAAGGTCGGCGGCCTGGCAGCCATGTTCGGAGCTCCAGAGCTCGACTTCAAGCGTGCTGCAGTGGACTTTGTGGCGGAGCTCTCACGCTCCCCGCGTGCAGGGAGTGATAGAAAGGCGCTGGACATGACCGACGCGCTCGTGCACGCCGACGAGCTCCCTGTGCCTATGTTCGGAGTTGACCTCAACCTGCGCTGCACTTTTTGGAACAGGTGAGCCCCTTTCGGTCATACCCACTTATTCTTAAGCATTTTTCTGCGAGTCCTCCAGCCTCCGCGCCACACTGTCTGTGTGCCAAATCTCTCGAGTTATACGTCGTGCAAGGGTCGCCGTTTTGGTCAAGCTCTTTGGACGATAGGTCCAGGAATTTTGAAACCTGTAAATAGCTTCTTGTGAGGAACATGATGATTATCCTCGAGAGTGTGCACTGACCCCTACGAATGCACACTCATTGAGGGTTTACTCCGTAATGCCTGGAAGCACTAAAACTTTAGAGCACATGTTTAACTTCTTGGTGAAGTTAGCTAAGTCTCTTGTGGGGAACCGTGAATGAATTTGGTAGAATTTTAAGCTTGCAACTTGAACAATTATTGAGAACGTTTGAGGATTGGGTCTGTCCTACATTTCGAAGCGTATGCTAATGTTTGCTTTCCTATTCCAGTCGCGCTGCCGATGCCACCGGCTGGACGGAGTCTGAGGTTTTCTCCATGCCGAATTTTACGGCTTCCTTGTTTAACAACCAGTGAGTATCTTTCTCAGACTCTACTGTATTTCCTCAAATGATATCATGCTTCAAAGTTTTCCAGCCTTTATCTTGGTTATTGCTCTCGCAGAGCGGGTTTCTTTTCCTAGTTCTAACAAAGCTGGCATTTCGGTTTCTTAGGGGCTGCGAGGAATTATTAAAGGCTGCATGTGAAGGTCGAGAATCTTCTCAGGAGATTTGGAGCCTGAAGAGCAAGTGGAGAAAGGAACTAAATGCATTGCTTTTGGCTAATGCCCGCACAGATAGCATGGGTGCTGTTTGTGGGGTTGTTTGTGTGATAATGCTTCTTAGTCCCCCTCAAATGGAACAATCACTTCTTAACGTGGACTCCACGGCTTGCGCCATGGATCGTATGAGCATCTTGGACTTGGAAGAGGAGTCGCCGAATAGTTGCGGCAGTCCTTGCGGAAGCGAAGACATGTTTCTGGCAGCCTTGGAGCGGCCCTCCTCTCCCTACTTCGACGGTTCCGTCAGAGATGCTATCGATATCTACATGGACCAAGCGACATCTACATCTTTCGAGGCTGAAGACTCCTCTTTCTACTCTCAAGAGCCTGAAGGCTCATCTATTTGTTCTCAAGATTGGTGCAAGAGTGAGCAGAGCATGGGAACCATTCGTGGCGCCGGAATAAACTTGGGACGCAGCTTGACTCAGGTCAGGGCATTGGTGGTTGATCCTAACGTTCGAGGCCGCAAGTCCCTCAGCCTCATGCTCGAGCGCTGTGGATTTGAAGTTTGTTGTGCAAGCAACGAGACTGAAGCTTTAGATTCCTTCGAGCAGAGCATGCAAGACCTCGAAGGCTTCTCTATCGTGTTCGTCAACTTCGACAACACGCGGAGAGAAGATTACGCCCTCGTCCGTCACTTTCGAAGCGCGGAATCTCGTTGCAATAGCTCCGATTTCACGACTCAAACAGTCCTCGTCGCCGTCACAGACCTTGACAGGTACAATTCTACCATTTTTGAGCTCTGGTTCACGGCACTAGTCTCTTTCTTGCTGGTAGATTACTTTGAGTGTGTCATCTATCTGCGTCTTTAGTATCACAAACTGACTAAATATATACCATCTTGTTTCCCACAGGTGGCAAGGCTCGAAACAAAAGAAAGTACCTGCAGGGTTAGACGCCATCATTCACTACCCATCTCGGGTGCAGCAACTTCGTGACACCCTGAATTCTTTGGGAGTTCCAGGCGACAACGTGAACTTCACCAACAGCTCTTGGAACAACCCCCTCGTCCTTGCCAGATAAGACGGATCACAAGTAATCCTTTCTATTTGTAGTGTATTCATCGATTCTTTCAAACAAGGAAACCTGCACAACGAAATCCGAGGCTTCCTTTCGCCTCGGAGTTCAGGTTTTTACATCAGCAGGTGTCGGGTATCCTACTCTGGGGTCTTTCATATTTTTAGCAATTCAACCTGCTCAAAGCCTCCCATTGTTTACCCTTTCTTATACGATATTTCGAAGGAGTTCTTTTTCCTCTATTTGACGTTGCGTTTGAATATCTTTGGGTAGGGAATGTGACTGAGCAACAGAGTTCACAGTCTCGATTTGTTCAGAGCTAGTTGTCTTAGATTTATTTTGTATAACTGGCCGGATAGATCAGTTTTCCCATCTTAAGCTTCGTAATCATGTTCTTTAGATCGATGACTTTTCCTTTTGCAGCATGGGTAGTCATTGCTTACTTCGGCTGTGTACAAAACAATATATTCAGAAATACGTCGGTGACTGGCAAGGTTCGCTCTGCGGGCTCTCTGTCATCTGCGATGAGTTCTCAAATTTTCGGTTTCACCTTCATTTTTTACAACAATTGTGGAATGATCATTCACACACAGGATATATATTTATATTTAAATAAATAAATATATATATATATATATATATATATATGCACACATATGTGTGTGTGTATGAGTGTATGCTCTTTTTATTTATTTTTATTCTGAACACACACATTCAGTTCATTGAAGAGTTATGCGACAAGAGCTCTTTCTATAGGTTAGTGTGCTTGAGCATTTTCAATAATCTCTGATGTCTAAAGATAATGTATCTTTTTCTCTGGTGAAATTGTGCATTGAAGATTTATTCCTGTATTAGAGTCGTGATAAAATACGAACATTGGAAATCTGCTCATGGGCTTTGGTTTAGCGATTTAGAGTAAAATATAATGCTTATTCGACCGATCGAAGCAAACTGAAATTAAGAATCATCTGTTTTACCCTATTTAGCATTATCTAATCATTATGATGAGTGCATGTTGCATTTGCACCGTAGTTTATGATGAATTCATGTTAGATATATAGAACATATTTGATTTTATCAGCATTAACTTCAAGTGTGCAAAATACACATCTGAGTTAAAATAATGAAAAGGATGATCTGTTTCTCAGATCCAAGTGAATGAGAAGGACTTCAAAATCCAGGTTATTTCAAAATGTTTGTACCTTTAGTTTTACGTACATAGTTACATATTTGTATATTTTATCCAGTTATTTAAAATTAAACCATTCATGTGTATATTTAATATACATGTATGTATATATATATATATATATATAGAGAGACTACTGAGTAACGTTTTAGAATGTATTTAAAATACAATGTAACATAATTCTTTGGAGCTATTACCTGACACACATCTACAAGAAGAAGAGAAAAAAGTTGAACATAGTGCTCAGTGTAACATCTTCAATTTTCTTGATTCTAAAATGCTAAGAACCATTTCATGTAAAGAAGAAGGTTAAAAGTTATAAGACAACAATGTAGAGAGAAATTATGGATTAATTTTTTTAAAATTAATACACCAAAAATTGAGAGGAATATAACTCCTTTACAATGTATTAAAATAAAACAATTAAGTAATTAATTAACATCTTCTTTTGGCAAAAATGTTGCTAAAACTTTTATTATTTCTATTTTTAATAAATTTAGTAAAGTATATTGTCAAAATATATCTTAAAGAACTTATAAGGCATAATTAATGGTATTTTAAGAAAAAAAATACTAAATTTATAACTTTTTAGAAGTATTTTTACTAAGGACAAAAGCAAAGGAAGAGAGAGGAACAAATAGCCAAATTTACAATTAATATTATGAGGAACTAGCTTTCATGTATATATTTGAGATTCAAGGATGTAGTCATATTTTTAGCTACACCACTAGATGTTTCCTAAGTTTGAAGATACTAAAAGATTGTCAAGTAGTCCTATCATGCTTTCCAACCACTAAATTATTAAAAAATAATTTAATTTTAATAGGTTTGAATTTGAAAGGACTTATTTGTATATAGTAGTCTATTCTAGAATGAGCCTATATAAAGCCTTGTGATAAGAGTTTTGATATGGTTGTACAAGAAAAGTTTATGTGGATCTACTTAGTTAGATATAATAGGAATTTTATATCGATTTGATACATAATTTAAGATGATTTTAAAGCAAGTCTTGAAAACGTTTTGGTAACTTCTAAGTTGTGCGTCTTTGAATAAAATAATGAAGTTTAAGTACCACAAGGAATGCCATTTTGTAGTAGTATCTTTAACTTCAGTGTGGTTTTAATTAAAGACAATACCAAAGACAAATAGATAAACAATGTACTAATACTATGCTAAAATCTCGCACAAATGCAAAATATCTACTTGTAGTCTTAGCAAACTCTTATTATTATTACTATTATTTTTTTTGTACCCAATTTATTCTATAATATAAATAAATAAATACATATATATATATAGACATATATATAGACATATATATATATATATATATATATACACCCACATACATTTTATAAAAAAATAAAATATCACTTTTCTATATTTTACAAAAATATGAAGTCATACTTATTTTCTATTTTAATATTATAAATTATAAAATTGACATGAAATCTTAAATAATAGGATATAGAATCTTATGTCAATTACTATTATATTGAAGTACTTAATATTTGTATTTGTGAATATTAATACTCTACAAATATAAATTTAGGACATTAGTTGAAGAATTTTGCATAACCAAGAGTTTTAAGGTCCAAAAGCTTACTTTAAAAGGCAATGGTTTAAAAACCTTATAAATTCTTTGCCAGTTTAAGAAAAGTTGTTCTTTAGGAGCCTAGACATTTTGAATATCATTAAAATTTGGATGTTTTGGAATTTTAATAGATATTTAAAACAATTATTGACATATATTTTCAAATTTTTGCAAAAATCACCTTTTGAAAGAGGCCTAATACAAATTTTGGGAAACAACACTATTCATACCTAGTAAATATAACTATATATATATATATATATATATTGTTTCCCATCAATGTATTTTTCTAAATAAAATGCAAACTAAGAAATGCTTCTCAATTTCAACCATCCACAAATGTTGAGAATTTCGACTTATTCCCTTCTCCCTGACACTTTGATTGGCTTAGCTTAATCCAATCAAAGCCAATCAAAGGACCCCTAATATCCTTTATTGAAAGATAAAACTTTGCTGATAATTACTCATTTGTTGAGTTTACTTCCGAAATAAGAAATTGCAGTGTGTTAAACTTATCAACCTTCCAAGCTGAATTCCAGTAGATCTACAATCATGTTCAAAGCAGTTGTATACGTCTTGATCAAGAATATTCGAAACAAGATATGAATCGACATTGCGACTACACATCATTTAAGAACAGTATTCAGTCAACATTCTGAAGAGCATAGAGCTCACAGCAATCACAGTAAAACGCCAGAAATAAAATTATATAAGTTTCAGTCGATGGATTGTGGAGCTTTGTGTGAAGAGAAGTAAGCACCCACTTAGCAGGTCCAGCATGTACAGAGAATATGAGCATGGCAGGGGTTGATATGGTACAAGAACAAGCTTCCAATTTCTCTTCTTGCTCCACGAAGCTGCAGGATATTCGTTTGCAAACATGGCTAGACGAGCGCAATGTAAGCTTTTATCTGTCTACTAACTTATATACAAAAAAAAATGGCAGTAGCCAAGCAATTTATAATGCCACAAGTCATGAAAGCTGACGGAATCACACATCGTGCTTTGATCCCTAGCAACGCCCCTAACCAAGACTGATAAGCAAGCGCCCTAGTCGCAGATATGCTCAAACATGTCACATCTTCACCAGGACCCCTCCTCGGTCCAATGTGTGAAATCCTCATCTCAACTCAAGGGTGGCATATAAATGAATGACACTGCATCTCCATTGAAACTGAACAGAAGGAAGAAGATAAGTTATACAACCTACTTACAAGACAAGAGAACCATGTCAGTGAACAACTTTGATGCGTCCAGTAGCGATGAAAGCACATGTAAGTACAGAACAGAAATATGTGTTTCCAAGATAAGAGCCTTACTTGATCGGACTTCAGTGCACTTGCTAATTGCCATGTACTGGGGTAATTCATATCCCGTGAGATCACATAATGAGACGGGTCGTACAAAGTTCATTCCTTAACAATTATCATTGGATGCTTAAACAATGCACCTACATATCTGCAACAGACCAAAGGTAAGCCTCCATCTCAGTAGCTTGTTTCTCAGCCTTGGCTTTGAACATCTGATTTTCGAATCCGGTGCTTCGGTCTACACCATCCCAGTGGCGTCCTGGTTTGATTCCATACCGATTCATTGGAGCTCCAACTCCTCTTTTCAGCCAACTATGTGCAGGAATATCCTGTGGAATTATAAAACCTGATTCTTTCATTTCATCTGATGCTCCAAAATCCACCAACTCAGCTGCAGGATCCTTCCTTTTGACAAGGTGTGCCATAGGATCACCCCATCGTAATCGCTCTTTGAACATTTTGTCATACTCAGGATCGTCACGAGTTCGTGCAAATGGCTTGTTTTTTTCAGCCTCAAACTCAGCATGTCTCTCTTCAGTTTCTCGTTTCTGTGCTAACCCTTTCCCCCACTCAAGAGGTTTGACTTCAGGTTTGGCTTCACCCTGTTGCTGTCTTAACAACTCCTCTAAACCCTCCAATCGTTTACCACGTTTGTCACGGTATACTGTTTCTGCGGCTCGACCTCCGCCACCCATTTCCTTCAATCTTCTGGCATCTTCCTGCTTCTTCTTCGCAAGTTCAGCAACACGCTCTGCTTTATCTGTAATTAGCCCTGCTTGCCTGCCATCAGTCATTTTTACTGGTTTGCGACCTACATTAGGACTGAGAACTTGCTCAGCAACCCTCCGTCTAGGAGATGAATCAGTTCGTGGCTTCTTCTTTCTTGGAGGAGATATATCTTCAGATTGTGATCGAGATGTCCTCCGAAGAGGACTATCCTGGAAATCAGCACGTGACTTTTTCCTCCTAGTAGGAGATATATCCCGTAACTTTGCTGGGGGTCTTCTTGGAGGTGAGGCATCAGGTGAGTCTGCACGTGCCTTCCTTCTCCTTGGAGGCGAGATGTCTTCCGACTCCACCTGGGTCCGCTTCCTGGGAGGTGAGGCATCAGGAGAGCCTGGACGCGCATTCCTTCTCCTTGGAGGCGAGATGTCTTCCGACTCTACCTGATATCGCCTCCTGGGAGGTGAAGTATCAGGAGACCCTGCACGCGCATTCCTTCTCCTTGGAGGAGAGATGTCTTCCGACTCCACCTGGGATCGCTTCCTGGGAGGTGAAGCATCAGGAGACTCTGCACGCATATTCCTTCTCCTTGGAGGAGAGATGTCTTCCGACTCCACCTGGGATTGCTTCCTGGGGGGTGAAGCATCAGGAGAGCCTGGACGTGAATTCCTTCTCCTTGGAGGAGAGATGTCCTGTGACTGGGATGAGGGGTTCCTCCTGGGAGGGGATATGTCGGGAGAGCCTAGCCGCAATGTATCATCTCTCTGTCCTTTAAGTTCGACATTCTTAGGCTTTCTTTCTACTGTACTCCAACCACTCCCATCATCCCCAATCGACATGTATGGTCGGTGCTGCTTTATCCTCTCCATTTGATGCATGCGCTTCACTTCGACGTCTTCGATCACTTGCGGAGCGTCTATCCCTTCCACCTCTGGCTCGTCCGAGTCCTCGTCGATGGTCTTTTGCCAAGCTGCATCGTTGTCAACTATAACGAGCCCCACCGGCACCTTCACCTGCGCTACCTTCCGCTTCTTCTTTGTCTTCTTAGGTTGTTTGTTGTCATCTTCTCCAACGGACTGATACTTTTTCAAATAATCTTTTAACGACGTTGCCATGACTGCTATATAAAACTAGCCCTGAACCATAAACCGCCTGGAATCAATGCCAAAAATAAATACAAGTTCCTCCCCACACTAAATCACAGATAACAAGCTCAGCTTCGCCGAAGCAGGTGTGATGAATTCGAAGGTGAATTTTGCGGCTTTGCTAGCTCTAAGCTTGTCCTCGACCTGATCCCTTGACTCAAGATTGCCCTTGAGCTTCAACTGCTTCTACACAAAGCAGAGGTCACAGTTAGTACAAACTCCACCTCAGAACTGTGACTGCAGTCCACAACTAAGCCCCTACAATCACACAATTCAATATACGCGTGTCGCCATTACTGTATATACTCCAATTTCGTACACAAACCTCTGCACTTGATCATGTTTTCCAACTCGAATCACAAATCCATCCAAAACCCTATACTTACATTCATGATTAGCAGACCGTGTGGCACGTTTCAGCAGAAATCTGCCAAGAGAAAATCCTCGGAAACAGCCACCACTACATCCTCATCTCTACCACAGCACAGGAAATGAATCCCAGCGTAACAAAAACCTCCAAACCCACGAATGAACGTGCAGTGACGCGAAGCGTACTGCCCTCAGCGTTAAAATTGGGTCCTAGAGCAACATAAGAAGAATCTTTAGTGACCGATTTCAGAACTAGTTTCAAACGGCAACTGAGATTGGACTCCTCAAACCCTAGAGTATCGATCCTTCACCATCACTCCGAAATTACCCACAACCCACATCTCACTCAAATGGATACAGAGGGGGGGGGGGGGGGGGGGAACCACAAATCAAAAAACGAGACCCGCAGCCTCGACAACACCTCGTTCAATCGGCCCCCAAGGCTTCAGTCGACCGGTGGGAGCCGGTGTAGGGTTTGTGGGTGGAACCGACTAGTGTCGGTGATTTCAATCCCCGAGACTGCAATAAGGAAATGTCTTCTGCGTTCTATGACTCGATGCATACTAAAAACATTATTGCAAAAATGAATGGATAAATAAATATTCTATATATATTTTATATTTATGAATGAGAATGTTAAATAGACTTAAGTTTTTACTGAATTTACCTAACCATCATGAATGATAAAAAGAGAAGAAAAGAAAAGTAAAAACGTCTAGATTCATTTTTTCATTATTGGATCTGCAACCAATAAAAAACAACCACATTTATTACAATTACCATATTCTTCATCAAGAGTAGGTCTACTTAGTAAAAGCATGGGTGTATGTAACTTTCCCTTATATATATATATATATATATATATATTTATATATTTTGAAGGTCTAATTTTGAAGCAAAAGTACATTTGAGGTACAATGGTCATTGAGATTTCTTATGTATTTTTCTTAGAGTAAATGTTTGGAGTGAAAAAATCAACTTTCATATATTTAAAGATTCTTTATGTATATATACTCCTAAAAAACGCATTACAACAAATACACTAATAAGATTTTTTTTATGGAATATTCTATTATATTTTTTGAAGTATAATCATTGATTTAAATTAATTTTGGAAAAAAAAAAAAAAAAAAAAAAAAACTTCAAAAGCTTTAGAGATAGCATTGCATTGTTGAAATTTTAAAATTAGAAAATATTTTAATATAGCATTTAAAAGATGAATAATATTTTTTGATTGTGATGCAATATATATATATATATATATATATATATATATGTTTTAGGCAATAAATTAATTTATAAAAAATTTATCAAATAATTATAATTATATATAAATGGTATATATTTTAGACAAAAAATAAAATATTTTAGAGCACTAGTATTTGTTATCTTTAGTAATTTACAACTAAAAGACAAATTCACCAATCAATTTTAAAGAAAAAATAAGAATACCATCAATTACAGATATATATATATATATATATATATATACTATATATAAGAGCAAAGATGAAATCATATAGGTAGATGATGTTACTAGAATTTAACATAGAAGCCTTTTGTAGAGCTTTTTTTGTATATGTATATATATATATATATATATATATATAGGTATTTTATTTATATTATTTTTATTTTCAATTATACAAGTTTTCACTAATTTATATAAATATATATATATGAAAAGTATTTTTTTCAAAAATAATCTCCATTAGTTGTGTAAGCCAAATTATTAAAATATTTCTTAGAAAATCACTTTAATAAGACATATTACAAAAATTATTAAAGAATTTTTTTAAGGTAGATTTTAAATTTTATTTTGTTTCTAAATTTTTAAATATATATATATATATATATATATATTATAGAATATTATGATATTATCTCTCAATGTATGTTTTTGGGTGTTGCTAATGCTACCACAAGTTGTTCTAAATTTGTATTGCATATCACAATGCACTTTATAGAACATTCCTAAGACACACCATAATGGATAATGTGTACATTATTTATGTATATATGATTTAATATTCCATAAAATGTATTATGGTATGTAGTGTAAGTTTGGAGAAACTTGTGGTGGTATTAGCAAAAATTATGATGACATTTGATAGATGACAAGTTATTGTATCAATAGCTAGAATTGTGGTGGCACTAATAACACCCTTATTTTAAGAAGTATTTAATAGATTCTATTTATTGTAATATCATTTGACCACATCAAACTTTATGTTATTAATTTATCATCTAATCTCCTTGAATTTATATTAAAATTATATTTATTAAAAATACATAAAATAAAAAATTAGTGATTTATTTATAAATAAAAATTTATTTCTTCTATATGTAATTTTACATAAATATTCATTTATATGTCTCTTTTTATATTTTTCAACATGTATATATATGTGAATATATATAGGAGAATGATAAAATAAACCAAATTTTTATTAAAGTGATCCACCTTATCTTAACCATCATTGCATCCTTGCAGCATCCATCTTTGTTCTCAGCTCAAAGAATAGAGGTTGAGAGGCCATTCCCTTGTTCCTTGAATCATGTTGCATCAAAAAGCCCATTCCTTGCTCACTCAATAGTAGCCCCTTGCAGCTTGACTTGTATTATACACTATCCATTAGTAACCCTACATTGTTATTTCTCTTCACAAGAAGTATAGTACCTGATTTCCATTGAAGAAGCCTATGCAACAACTAAGTGGGTTGCAAAAAACGGGAATGCAATTGGTATTGATAGCTCAAAGCTTGCAATTTGTGGAGACAAGATGGGTGGCAATATATCCATTGTTGTGATCATCATATGCAAGGAACAAGGCGGCCCTAAGCTTTGCTTCTAGTGCTTATTCTACCTAATCATCGATGCATCATTTGATATCAAATTGTATAAGGAATTTCATAATGGGCCATCACTCACTGTTCAGGTCATGCATGTTCAGGTCATACAGTGGTTCTGAGATTAGTATGCATTGGATTATAGTGTATGAAAGGAGCCGAGTGCTTCTCCATTAAAGACACTAATGGAAGTATTTAAAGGCATGTTCTCGGCTCTAGTTATAATTGGTGAATTTGATGTGCTGCAAGATAAGAGGGAAAACTTCTTCACAAATGCTCTTGCTCAAATGCATGCTGTAAAGGCAGCCATTGCTTAGGCTTGTGAGTGTCTTAAGAATGCATTCAAGTGAAACCTACCTTTCAAGTTATTGTTGTTTATTAATCAACTAATTATTCATTGCCTCTTGATAATAAGAAATGTCAATTTTAAATTATAATTTACTCAAAATTTACTTTTTTTAGGGCAAGAATTTTATTTTAATCCCATTAAAAGATTTTTTTGATATTTACAATGGAAAAAGGTTAAAAAGCTATTGAAGTAATAGTTAGGTTCCGCAAGTCTAGTCCAAATAATTATTTACCATGGTGCTGCTTGAAACATAATAATCCACGCTAATGGAAAAATTTGAGTGTATAATAATTATTTTTGTCATGGATACATTATATAGGAGACCAAACAAGAAGTTGAATGGAAAACTTTTATCAAGAAAGCTTATAAGAACTTGATTAAAGTAAATGAGTACAAGATCAATACCAAGAAAAGTGAGTTAGAACTCCTAAAGATATATTATTGAAACGGAGGAACTCCTTAGCCTCGACTTCAATATATATAGGTATTAGGAAGCTTCTTGAAAAGTTTCTATGTTGCTTGAAGATGAAGCAATCTTAAGAAGCTTCTTGAGAAGTTTCCATATTACTTAAAGTTGAAACAATCTTGAGAATCTTCTCAAACAACTTCCTTAATCCTCTTAGAATTTTCTAAAATTTGATAGAATATTCTAAAAACTATCTAGAACCTTCTAAAATATTCTGAAAATCTTTCTAAAAGCTTATAGAATCTTCTAAAACCTAATCAAATATTTCTAGAATCTCCTTAGTGGATGTCCGTAATAATTTTGGAACTAGTTCATGAAAGAAATAGGAAATATGAAAGCATGTTTTAAGTGTGATGCCTACTTCCATTCTAATTGCAATATGAAACTTTAATTGGAGTTGCAAAGCTCATTTCATGTTAAGAATGTAATCGAAGAATTCACAATCATTCCAAGTTTTATTTTTCTTTCACATAAAATTAAAAAAATGCATGAGTGTCATTTTACAATTAAGCAACTGCTGTTATTCACAAAAGTTGTCTAATCTATCCATGGTATTCAAAGATTTCTTAGAGATAGATTAAGTTTAGACTATAGCAGTAGTATCCTTGTTATAATGTAAGAAATTTGTATGTCAATAAACGATATAAGTTAGATATTTTTATCATTTTAAAACAAGAAAGCACATGATGAAAAGAATAAAATTAGATGGTTTAGTCATATTCTTTTCTATAAAAATTTGTTCAAAAAAATGAATAAAAATTGAAAAGTCAATTGTAACATAAGCTTGAATGAAATATGTGTAGAAAGATTACAAATACATTACAATTTCCAAAATTCAGTTCAAACTATCAACAACATTCAAATTTTATCTTTCTTAGCCATCTATTTTTTGTGATTATTTGATGTCACTTTCTTTACAATTAACCCAAATTTTGCCTCTCAAACCAAATATTTTCTTTATTTTTAATATTATAACTCCAATCAAGTTGAAAGAACCAAATGCTACAAATATATAAAAATAAAAGTATTTGACTCAAAGACATATTTTATAGTGCAAAATATTGGAACTAAACTCAAAGCATGTTGTGCTATGTTAATATTCATAAACAACTAAAAAGAAATTTGTATACATATTGATAAGCTATACATAGAAAAATGCTCTAAATCTAAGTTGTAGTGAGTAGTGGATTTAAAATTAACTTCTTCTTTTATTTGTTCTTCATCTTGAAGGGAGCTTAGTTATAGAAATAACAAACAAAAGAGCTTAACAGATCCATATTCCCTTTGAAATCCATATTCCACATGTTGAAGAAATCCATGTTGTTCCTGTTTGAGAAATCAAAGCTTTTGTTTATCAAAATTTATATCACAAACAAGTTGGTGTCAATAAAGTGATTAAGATATAAAAGTCTTATGTTGCTTATGATCCATAGTTCATCAACAGCGTTGAATAATTACAATTGGATAAATTTATGAATTTTTGCTTATAATTTGTATGCTTTGGTTTAATTGTTGGATCTAAATTTTATAGCTTTGCTAAGCTGCCATGAATTTTGAGTCAAATTAGTGATATTATTGAAATGAAGATGGAAGGTGGGAGGTCGAGTTAGTTATAAGAATTAGAGGGACGGGGGGGGGGGGGGGTACTAAAAATGAGAAAAACATTGGAAACATGGACAATACTTGGGAATGGAGTATGGTTGAGAATAGGGATGGAAGCTG